TTTACCACTGTATCAAAGTTGGTTGGCCAACCACTTCTGTAAGGGGAAGAAAGACAGCAGCAAACTTATATGCAAGAAGTGAGGCTGAAATTTCAGAAACCTTAGAAAAGTGGAATTAAGTATTCCATATCATTGGTTAGGTCCTTAGACAAGGCCATTCTCTGAATTCTTCTTCTTTCTAAAGGAATTGATGCTTATAGACTCTCCTTGCTGAATATATTGTAGAACAGATGTCAGATTAGCTATTAGCAAGTAGAAATTGCCTTTTTAAAAAATAATATTATTATTATTATTGTTTTAGTGAAGGAATCCACTATCTGTTCAATGATGATGATACAAGCAAACTTCTTTCTGTAGTAGGCATGTCATGACTAGGAGTAGCTTTAACAGGAATGTGTCAATACATTGCTAAAGCTTGCAAGCAAATGCAGGCACCCAGAGAAAACACAGGATGAAATTTGTGCTTCTAAATCTTGCTCATGCCGCATGGCCTAGCTGGGATGGGGAAACATTGGATGTGCTGGGCACTCATGGTGGGGACAGTCTTGAGACAAGCACAGTTTTCTGAATATTGAAGTGTATTTCCCAGTTCCCAGTCTGACACCCAGCTGCCCTCCATGCAGGGGGAGGAAGGCAAGCACTTTGGAAAATGCAGCTGCCTTAAGTGCTTAAATGACAGCTCCTCTGACTTCGACAGCTGGACTATCATGTATGTCATTATGTTTAAAATTAGTGGTTGGGAAAGAATTACGAGGCAAAAAAGAGAGATTAGTTCAGATAAATAAAATATAGAGCAAGCTTCTTTCCAGTCAGTTCAGACTCTTCAGGGAATTGCCTCACCTAAAAGGATGTCTTCCAGATTCCTTCCCACTTATCTTCCTTATGAGATAGTTTTCCTCCCCCAGGAGGAAAGCACGTCTCTGTGGCTCGGGCCATCGAGAATATCCTCCTTCTGTGTGTGGCCCAAATGGCCTTTTTGCCTTGTAACTTAACACCTGCTTTTATTCATTGTTAAATGATTTCAAATGTTTTTTAGTAAATGTGACAGGCAGTGTCACACAGGCGGTGTATTATGCACTGTCGTCTTTTATTTACTCCCATAAAGCATTATGGAATACAGTTAGTATGTGACATTCAGGATACTGTGTAATACTTCATTACATTGCATTGCAACATGGGACAGTTCTCTGCCTTGAAAGACACACTGTCTTTTCCTTTGCTTATACCTTTTTTCAAGTTTTTTTTATCCTGACTTTCCCCTTGCCTAGTGTGTGATTTCCATGACTTCCCCCAGTGTATCTGATGAGGGCAATACTTTTCTGCTTGGAAAAGTCTTATTTTAGTCCTATATCTTTGTTGATACAAGAAGTACAGGAGTTGCTTACATCTCCTCAAACTGTTTCCCAGATGCTTGATGATTCATGAGAGGTCAACCTCGTGAGAGCGAGTTTATGTTGACTGTGTTCCTGTGTCTTCTAAGCCAGATAACTCTGTGAAATCCCAGTGAAAATCCCCTTAGAAAATTCTAGCATATTTGGTTCCAGTGCAGGCCACACCACTTCAGGTCGTAATCTAGCACAAAGTGAGGGAGGTGAGAGGGAATCCAGCTCCTGAAGAGTCTGCTCCAGTGTCAAGTGAAGGTACTGAGTAGCTTTAGATTTCATCTCATATGGACTATAGAAACAGTATTTATGGCTTTTCTCATGAAACATACATTCTTCCCTTGTGGAAAAGGCATATCCTCAGAGTGCAATATTTGGATATCTCTTACTTTACTATAGTGAGAATTTCCTTCCCGTGATTCTCTCCAACCTTTCCTCTATGATAACTTTATAATTCCTGTATTACCATGATAGAAATAATAAGTTATTGTGCTTTGATTTTTAAGCTTTTTAACATGTGCAGCTCTATTGCTTCATGTACCTGTTCAACTCAGATACTGCAGAGCTGCTCCAGCCATGACATTTCATCATTAGTCTTGGTCAGGTGTGATTGACTTCCTGGCAGAGCACCACAGTCTGTGAAATTCAGAGTTTAAGTTAAATTAAGAGCCATCACAGACCCTATCTTCTTGGTGTACAAGAACGCAGTAGTGTGCATTCTCAGCTGGTATGCTGAGTTAAGTGAACAGATGTTTTGTTTGGGGGTATATGTATGAGCACATTTTAGAGATACTGTCCCCCAGAATCTCAGCAGGGTAAAGCCTATGCAAGGACTGTCTGGGAAAAGGAAACCTTTCCCTCAGAAGCATGAATTACATTGACCTACACAGTGAAATGCATGGTGATAGAGGGAAAATGGCAAGAGTTTCCTGTCCAAGAAAGAAGAGTAAAGAACTCTGAGGCATAGGATGAGTTATGCCATGTTTTACTGCAGTAACTTTTGTTCTGACTTAGGGAATGGTTGCTTCACTAAAAACTATGGAATTTTTTATCATCAAAACTGTTTTATTTTTATCCCTTTTCTTGGACATTTTGCACATAGTCCTGTGAAATATCTTTTCCTCTCGGTGGACTGAGTGTTTTTAAAGTCCAAAGGTCCTCAGCATTTTAGTAGGAACTCAGTAGTGTTGGCTGGACATTTTGTTTCATTCCAAATTAGGGGGAAAAAAACCCGCAGTTGTCTTTTTCCTCTTTTTTTTTAGAATAAAATAAAATGAAAAACAGATTCCAGCATAGATGTCCCTGATGAATATTGCAACAAAATTAATAGGTGGGTGGTCTTTATTTTCACCAAATTGTCACTTTTCCAATGCAAATTATTTGGTCAAAATAGAACAAAACAAAACTGGGTAGGTCTGCACTTTGTGAGCTAGGTCTGTATTTGCTTAGAAAGGGTGGCTCAGTGTGAAAGCATCTTAGAATGATGTTACAATTAGGTCTTTGGAGATAGTTTTACAGGAAATGAAGACTTTCATCATCTAAGTTTCAGGTTGTTTGGAGGCTAGAATTATTACCCTGTCAGAAGAGTACAATGAACTGCTGACATGCAACCATGCTTTGCTTAGAGCTGTGTGCAGGGAAGTATTTACAGCAAGGAACCAGTGAAAAGCAACCTGAAAAAATAGATGTACTTACTATGAAGTTTGTACCATTTCTCTGGGTTCCCGTTTTTAATGAGTGTTTTATGAAAAAATATATTTATTTTATATGAAGAACTTGGAAAACTTCAGTCAAATGTTAGATTTTATTTTAAGAGTGAAAACTTAGATTACTGTGTGTGACAGATGGCTGCCACTGGTTGCTTACTTTGGTTTTGTATTTCCAACATTCACAGAGCAACTTGGTGGGAGATACTTTTCCCCCATTTGCTCTTCCTCATCAGACAGATTCAGGAGAAGGCACCAATTTTCTATTTCTGTTGCTTGTAGTGGAACTAGAGGTTGATCTGGCATTCAGCAGAGGACTAGAGTGATGTTCAGTTCAAGATAAAGACACCAGAGTTTAAGTGTTTACATGAAAGCAGTGTCCAAGTTCATGTAGTAAGTAGAAATTTGGTCAATGCAGTTGGGTGACTGACTGTGTGTAACTCCTGCAGTCCGTGTTGAGAAGGGGCTCAGATTGCCCACATGCAGGTGACTTTGTGAGACACTACGGCTTCCATTGGACCTTTGCTGGGGGCTGCTGGATGTGCTGCTGGACGTGCTGCTGGACCTCCTTGTCCTCATGGAGGCCAGACAGGAAAATGTACTACGTCTTAAAGGTGGTTAGGCATCTCTCTGTGAGTGACTGAACTGAGCCCTAGATTTCCACACATCACCTAGGGAAGGAACACAGATAGCTGTCCCACTGGTGGAGGCTCAGAGCTGAGTGTCTTGGCTTCCCAGGGAAGTGGTCACAGCACCAAGCCTGACAGAGTTCGAGAAGCATTTGGACAATACTCTCAGGCACATGGTGTGACTCTTGGGAATGGTCCTGTGCAGGGCTAAGAGTTGGACTTGATGATCCTTGTGGGACTCTTCCACAGTATATTCTGTGATTCTGTGATTCCATGACTGGGAACTGAAACCTGCTGTGATCTGCATGTTGTCTTGGAGCCTTCTGATCCTCAAAATTTCCCACACTGAAGTTGTTGAGGCACAAAAAAATGGTTGTTTGCAGTTCTTTGATGCTGGGAGCCAAATTCCAGTATCAGAAACAGTTGGACAATGCAAGTGCATGGTACAACTGAGAAGGCATTTTGACTTTTAGAGAGCTGGGTCTGGCCACAGTTCCTGTTATCCTTGGAGCCAGGGATTTACAGCAGCAGAGGCTTTACCTCAATAGAAGTAAAACTTTAGGAACAATTGAATATTTGCTCAGGCAGAAGCTATGGAATTTTAATTAAATAAAGACTTGGCTATTTGTCTTGAAGTTACTCGCTAAGGTGGTTGTTGGGACAGAATCTGACCTCAGTTACATCAGTATAAGCATGGAATAGCTGGCTGTGTTAATCATCCATTAGCAGCAAATGATTCACACCATATAAATAAAATGAAAACGTGGCCTAACAAATGTTTTTGGGAGGAAATACTTAAGCACAGTAAACAAACTTAAATTCACTCATATGCACTTTCTTGCGGCTCTTTATTGGTGCTTTTGTTCAGAGGGCATTTCTCCCCAAAGCACGAAATTTGGGAAGCAGGGTTGTTTGTCTTTTTTACTTCAGTCTGTCTTACTTCATTATTCTCAAGCTTGCAGCTTTTATTAAAGTTTAATTCTGTTTTAAAATCAAAGTGGTGAGAATGAAATTATATAATCAATATAAATGTAAAAATAATTATATATTTCTTGTAAAATAAAGAGTCCGTATACCTGAGTTCTGTTGTTCTTACTGTTTATACGGGATTGAATTAAGAGAAAATACGCTATACTTCCTATCTAATGAAACTGCTTCTAGACCTAACTTTTTAAAAGCTTTAAATGCAAATAATTTTTGCTGTGTTATATAACCTATTGTGTTTTTTGCCTTCCTGTAACTGGAACAACATACTAATTTCTACAAGTTGTGACTACTAACAGAGAGCAATCACCTCACAGACTTGTACCGAAAAGAAGAGATCATCAACGTGGCAGGGAATGGCTGCATCCACAGTCCTCGCTTCCCCAGCAGCTACCCCAGGAACCTCCTACTGACGTGGCGTCTCCACTCCCCAGAGAGCACCAGGATCCATCTGGCTTTTGATAATCAGTTTGGACTGGAGGAACCTGAAAATGATATCTGCAGGTGAGTGGCAAGTGGAAGTTTGCAAAGGTCTCCTTAATACCACCTTCACGCTCACTGGCATGAGACCGCAGACCAAAACCTGGGCATCTCTGGCCAGGTCTAGGTTGTCCTTGCATGAAGGACAGACCTCCAAGTATCCCCTTTTGACTGAAATTGGTTTTTAAGTTTATAAATAAATTGAGCTTTCCTGGACCTGAAGCAGTTTTGGCAGGTTTTAATCCTTCTATAATATTTTAAGCACAAGGTACTTGTATGCTCAAATCCAACAACCTAACAACATAGATACTACTTTAATAGGATTTTGTCCTCTATCACCTCTGTCATGTTTCAGCCAGACAAAACACATCTTTTTCAGTAGGTGGAAGGCTCTGGGAGGTGTGAGTAAATAGGTAAGTGTTTATATTGGGGTGTGAGGAACAAATAAAAATGCATTAAAAAATATAAGTATGTTCTTCAAATTACTTGCTTGTCTTTATTGTTACTCTTCACTGGTACAGTTTCTTTTAAAACCTTTAAATATAGTCCACAAACACCAGTGTACTGATGCATACTTATATATTTATTTATCTATTTATGTATACTCTACTATATCCCAGTTGCTTTGGTTCCCCTTTTAAGCAAAAGTGACCTTAAGCTCAGTTGATCTGGCTGATTAACCTAGGTGGATAAACTGCTTGGCATTAGCAGAGTACAGAGGTGAACCTTGCTAAAATTCACTAAAACACTGTAAATCTATTGAGTTTTTGTTTATATTTATTTTATTTGTCTGTCTGTTCTGTGGGAGAGAGCAGGCTCGGGATTCCTGTGTGCTCCAAAAGGCAGATGCTACTCACATAAAAGACTGCTCAAGTCTCAGTTTCCAACTCTACCTGATCATGTTGTTACTTACAGCTTATCTGTGCAGAGAACTGGGTTGTTAGGGTTTCTGCACATCCAGCCTCATCTTATCTTCTTTGTCAATTAATTTGTGTTCATTGGGTTTGACAGTTCTGCAGGGGTTTTACAGGGTGTATTTTTTTCCCTCTTTTTTCTTTGTTAGATTTTCTGCATCACCAATAAAGAGAACCATTCCTGCAGGTTTGTTTTTCATTTAGTAATAAAAGAATGCAGCCTAAAACTGGCTCTCCTTCCCTGCTTCTTGGCAGGTCTGCTATGCTCTGGTGCTATTGGTCCAAGATCAGCAGCAGAGTCAGTAACAATAGTTACCTCCCAGTACCCCAAATGCTTTCCCAGATTCGGAGCCTAATGCACACAGAAGCAGCTGTTAATATTTACATAGTGGGTAAACTGTGGCTGACCTTAAAGCATTGCAACTTTGAAACAGAGGGCCAATTTACTGTGGAAAAAAAGATGAAGTATTCTCTGTCAAAAGCCAGTAAAGGTGGTGGCACAGAGAGGGAAAGTCAAGCTGTTGCTGGCATTATGGATTTGGAGACCATCTTGGAAGACAGTCTACCTGCTTTTTCCAGAGCAGTTAATTTAGGATGCAGAGAGAAGCCAAGACCTTAAATCATCAGAATTGTCTGTAGAAGCTGGAGAAATATCACATCCTTTTCTGCAATAAAGCTTTCCCTAGTTTCTGGAAGACCTTTATTTCGGTAGTATTACTTCCAGAGTGAGGAATTTCTTGGACAGACAGCTTTTGATGTCTTTAAACCTATTAAGTACTGTGTGCAGTTAGATTTTTTGCTAATGCTCAATATATTTTTCAACACTAGATCCTTTCTGCAACTTCAGTCCTTGACAATCCCTGCAGTGCTGCTTTAGAGAGACAGCCAGCGTGTTTTAATTGAAATGAATGCTTAGAGCTGAGCATATGCTTGACGGCTGTGCATACTGGACAAGTAATTCAGGACCTTTGCACATTACCTTGCTTTTGTATTTGCTTTTGACCTTATGCTTTTTTTCTCCAGAATCATCCTAGTGTTTTCTTTCAATTTTTCATTAATGCTAATTATTGTAATTTGCATACTATTAAGAATGAACTGATTGAAATTCATTCAGGCTGCAGAATGAAAAGGTATATTTTAGCAGAGCTATATTTCTTCTGAGCTTCTGAAGAAGGAGGGTAAATATTCAAGGTTTTATGGAATTTTCTAGAAGTGCTGTTAGCATTTCCACAGGCACTTTATAAGAGATGATTCTGAAAAGCAATTAAATTACCCAGCCTCTGAGGCTCCTTGGATGCACAGAGAATATACCTACTTCCATGATTGTTGCACCAAAGCCTCTGTTGTTGAAAGCAGAAATAATCCTTAAAATTCCATGGATTTTTCACTGGTTTTGCTACCAGTTATTCTGGCTTCTGGCCTCAAAGAGTGGGGGGGCCAGTCAGGACAGCTTTCACCAAAGCTTATGAGGTTATCTCATGCTGAACACTGCAACTCCCTATGTTACAATAGGCATTCACAGCTGCCTTGCTGCCTGGGGGGCAATGGTGGATGCTCTTGTGGGCAGCACAGAGCTCTGCTGGTACAACATCCATCACCATGAGGGAGTGGGAGCTGAGGATGGTGGGGGGGAGAGCTTGAGACAAGTCTACGTCCGCCTGGAACTAAATTTTGGCGTGTTACAAAAAAAGAATATTTCAGCAGAGTTTGGGCAGATGGAAGTGATTTGGTCATGGTGAATCTGTTATTTTCTGTTCTGTGCAATTTGGGATTGGTGAAAATAAAAGCAGCAGTGCTGATATTCTCAAACCACATAGTACTTGTGGGTTTTTTCTCATGGACTCTCAGCAGAAAAGAAAAGCAGGTCTGTTATTTACAGCTCCCACAAATGGGCAGGGAGGAGGGTGCTTGGCCCACAGGCCCAGGGCAGGGAGGAGTGCATTGCTAGCAAGAACTGGTTAACAGTCTTAAACTCCCTCTTTGAGGGAGGCTCTCTGATAATAGAAAGCATTCCTGGTAAAGATCCCCAGAGTTTTGAGGCTCAATTGTACCATGAGGATGGCACTCAACCTGCCCCTCTTGTCATCACCTCTCTCTCTCAGGCTGCAATGTGTGGAGTCTAATTCTGGCTTCACTGATACTGAGAAACTGTTTTTGTCATAGATGTAGTAAAATCAGAACTTTATTCTCTGCCTTCTTATTCTCCAGATCAATAAATGAATTCAATAAATTACCCCAACGAGTGAATACAAATGCTGGGGCAGCGAGTGCTGCTACTGTATCCCCTGATTGCTAGGGGTTAATGCCTACTGCTCCTGTCAGATCCCTCTTTGGGCTCAGGGTGCCACTGCTGTGCCCCAGGTGCCTGGCTAAGTTGTGACCTTGCACAGGACAAGACATGCTGTTGCATTTTCCCTGGTGACAGCATCCATGTGAACAACAGAGTCCCCACCACAGCACACAGAAAGCCAGCATACTTTTCTGCTTGAAAGCTTGATATAAGTCTTTCCAAACCACCTACAGGAGCGCTGTGCCACCTACAAGGAAGGTGCTAAAAAGCACCTTTCAGCAGCGGGCAGTGCCCTGTGTCCTTCCAGCATCTCCCTTTCCTCCTGGCACAGTGGCCACACAGCTCCAGCCCTGTGACTGACACAGCAGGCGGGATCCTTGTCTGCTGCTGTAGGGATTTGGGTGACCACTAGAAAGTACACAAGTGCTTGCAGCTGCTCAGCTTGGGCAGCCTGCCTTAAATAATATTTTATCATGTTTCTAAATTATTTACCCACCACATGAAACACAATGCGTATGCTTACTGTGTACTAAGCACATGCAAGTGCCTCTCATTGCTATTTTAATGTGTTAGAAAATACTGTCTGTCATGTTCCAGGAGCCCAGAAATCACTCATTTGAGTACTCAGGCAGTAGCTTTCAGCTTAGTGTATTTTGTGCTGCACAAGCATGCCGACCATTTGTAATATTTAGTCTGATGTTTTGAAGTGGAGAACAGGGGACAGTTGCCTTTGTGTCTCCAGTTGTGCTCCTTCCCATTAATTTGCAACCACCTTCTGTAACCAGAGTTAGCAAAAGCTAATTCTTCCTACTGGTTTTCAGGTATGACTTTGTGGAAGTGGAAGATGTATCAGAGACCAGCACAGTTATACGAGGACGGTGGTGTGGACACAAGGAAATACCTCCAAGAATAACATCAAGAACAAATCACATAAAGATAACCTTCAAATCTGATGACTATTTTGTGGCTAAACCTGGATTCAAGATATGTTACTCCCTTGTGGTAAGTCACCTAGGTGTGACAGCGGTGAGAGACAGATTGCAGTGTACATGAGAATCAGTACTTAGACTGGATGGTGTGTCTAACTGCATGGGATCGAAACAATAAATGACTTAAAGTATTTTCGTTACAGCAACTATATTAATACAGATGAAAATATTTTTGACATCCTGTCATTAAATATAAAACAAAGTCAAGTTCAGTTCAAGATTTACTGTAATAAAATGTTTCAGAAGCACTAACATATTCTACACTGAGGCTGCACTGCCAGTGCCTTGAGAGATGCTGCAGAAATAGCAAAGAAATGGCTGCTCTGTGAACTCCTTTTTTATGTTCATTTGAGGTCAAATAAAAGTACACTGAGGGGTTATGGCTGTGATTCTCAGTTAGATAGAGTAGTTTATTCTGCATGCCATAAAATTGTACATGCAAGACAATGTGCTAAGGCTCAGGCTGTATTTTTAACCAGATATAAACACACCTCTTTGTATATGCAGAAGCATTAGCAGTGTATTGTGTACTGTTTCAATGAGACAAAAACATCCTCCTTTTTTTTTTGTATTTTGGTTTTGTTTTTAGGGAGCAGGAATGATCATTGCTCTAAGTAGATTTTGATACAAATATATATTCCTTTGTATTGTCCTGATTAATATTATAATGCTTTTGGTGCAGTGTAGCTCGAAAGAGACAGATTTTGCAAACACTCAGGAAATGGTAAGCATTAATTTATTATACTGTCATCATTGTATTTTCATATCCATCCCATTTCTTATCCCTTTTTATTCAATCCACTGTCATTTAACAAGAATAAGAAAGGCTGGAATAGCAATAATGCTGTAACAGGAGAGATCCATTGTTTGAGTCATTTCACTTCAACCTCTTGGCTTTGCATGCTTGTGTGCCTAAGTGTGCTAAAAAGAGTCCATAAACAGCACATTCTCGAGACAAAGTAAAACTATGAAGATTGTGCTCCCTTACATTTAAATTGTTAGGCTTATAGTGGAGTAAGGTATGACACTGTAAGTAGATCCTGAGCTCTAATTTACTCTAACTTAAAGGTAATCTACTAATACTCGAATTCAGACAGAACAGGCTATGAAAGACCACTGGGCATAAAAATGAGACAGTGAAGCAGCAGCCTCTCTTTATACTGGTTGCATTTCAGTGCAGCTACAGAAACTGCTGCATTTAGCGAGTTTAATTCCAAACTGTGTGCAGATAGTCTGATAGTCAGACAGGCTTTCAAGAAAGTGAATATTATCACTCATAAGACACAGGACTTTCTGCACTAGAAAGCTCAGAAAAGGCTACTGTATTTATCTAATTTCAAAACTATGAGTAAACAGAGAATTTTGCAATCTATCAAATCTAGTTACAAGAATTACCTGCATGTGCACTCTCTGAATGAAATACTATTTTATTTCTGAGAAGAGCACTGTACAGGTGATTAGTGGTACTTGCAAGATGGGGAATGATATGTACTTAGCTGGTCTTCAGATTCCAAATGGTCCAACCTAAAAGTGCAGGATTAATTCAGCAGAGTCAGCCCTTATTTGATAGTCCCCACAGTCACTTAGAGCTCAGTTCATAGATGTGCTGAGCACTGCTGACCCCTGAAGGTTGAACTCACTGTGTGTTTCTAGACAGTAAACCAGCAAGCGTTAATGAAGCATGCAAAAACATATGCTATTTTGTATGAGATGAAATGAAGGACCTTTACCTTTTTCTTTCTTAATAACCTTCTCTGAGACAGAGTTACTTCTGAGGGATTTCTTGGAAAATGGTGCTCAAGATACGTGCAAATCTTTTACTCCCTTGTTTTTCTTATGTTTGGAGTTTGGATCTGCATGGCAGTTGTTTATTTGTATACTAGACTCTGATTGATAATTTTCCAGAGAAAATGAAATCAAGCGATTTGGAATTTATTGATCAGCTGCATATCCTGTGCATGGTGCCAGAATGACTGGGTGAATTTCTCCAAGCAACCTCACAGCCTGGCTCACTGGCCTCTCATTTATAAATCTTCAAGGAAGTCAGTTAAGTTCACTACATTTGATGCAGATCAAGTTTTTACTTAGTTCAGCACTCTGCATGAGGCACAAATGAGGCAGCACAGACCTTAGCAGAAACACCCTTCATTATCTTTGTGTACTTGGATTAACTTCACATTTCAGTACCATTTAGAGAAAGAAAAGGGGATTATTTTTCTAAAAAAGACATAAATTAGACTTGTATCACTTGTATCACATTTGCCTTTGTGAAACAAGGTATGGAAAGTAAGCAACCCATGAAAGGGCTTGGTCGCTCAGGACAGTGGGATTACAACTCTGAGTGACTCTGGAAAATTAGTCTTAAAAAAATACAAGGATGATCTTTAGCAGTATAAGGTTGAAAACTGTATGCATGCATGTGAGTAATTAACTGTCCCAATATAAGATAGAAGACAAAGGGCAAGGAGAGCAAATCTGTGAAATAAAGTCTGACCACCTGAACACAGCATTTAGCAACTTTGGCTTGCCAAGGCTGGCTTGCTCCACCTTCTTCCTCCTCCTCTTCCCTCATCCTCTACCTCTTGGCACCTCCACCTCTGCCCTCCCCTCTGTGGGTCTGAGGGACTAGGAAGGCTGGAGGGAGAGCAGTGATGATGGTTTTGGAGACAAGGGGCAGGTCCAACATGCTGCTGCCTGCTGCCTGTCCCTGATCTGCTTTTTTCTCATGAAGTTCTTCACTCCCTGGAGTGGGAGATTTAGGGTGGATCTGACATCAGGAGTTTATTAGTGTGTTGAGTGCACCCCACTGTCCACTGCTTATCCTAAGTTGCATAAGAGTCAAAAGTGTTCCTGTATGGAAAAAGTCACTCTTCTGTTCTATGTGTGACGTTGCCAGAGGAGGTAGGTATGCACAGCTGGTGACTGGTCTCCACAGGCACTTCACATTCAAACCCCCCAGTTGTAGCTGTGTAGTTGACTGGCTTAGCCTGCATATCCGCACAAAGAAATGTTTCCCTTGAAACATTTCCTCTTTAAAAATTGCCTCTTTCTTTAAGCTTCACAGACCTAAAGCAGAAAGGGTCTGGAGCAAGTCCTGGACAGCTATTAGTCAGGAGCCTCACTTAACTCCAAATTTGTTTGAAATTCCTCCCTGCCATTATCACTTAAAGCCCTTATTTCTTGGTATTTTTTCATGCTTTTCTTGATTGAGTTGCCTTAGAAACTCAATTTGGAGTATAGAAGGCATTGAGTTATTCCAGTATTTTTACCTCACTCATTATATAATTTCTTACTCTAAGGACATAGTCATTCACAACAGTGTAGAAATACATGAAACAGAGGAAGATAAATAATCATTTTATATAATTTCCTTTTTCCTTCTGAAGTCGAGTTCTTCCGATGTCATTATTCTAGAATGGAATGTTAACAAGATTGGATCCCATGTTTTACAACCTCGTTAGCATGGACATTTACTGAAACAGTCTAGGAACTCATTCAGGACCGTGTTCCAACATTAAAGGTGAATGTTTGGAATTAAAATTCCCAATCCTGCATCTAATTACATTTTACTGAGACAGTTAGAAAATCTTGGATTCCATTTGCTATTTACAAACATTATTTTAAGTTTATTTTAAAAGGTACATTTTTTTATATCTTTATAACAGTAAATTGCTATTGCCTTACTAATTGTTTGGTTAATCCTAAATGAAATCCATATTTTGGAACTTTGGCTAAAATCATTATTGTAAAGAAGGGCTACAAACAAGGAGCTTAATTATATGTATTTGCATAAACCTGCATTTATATAAAGATGTAAGGTTAAAAAATATATTTACCTGTACATCTTTTTACATATATATATATATATATATATATATGATACTAAAGTGATACTAAACAGGAGAACATAAGTGCATTTGTCCCAGGATAAACTTACGTGTCAAAACGTGTATCAGTGTGTTAAATCCTGAGTAATTTTGTCTTGTTTGAATTGACTTTTTTTTTTTTTAATTAAGGAGCTATAACCAAATTAATGGAATGGAATGGAATGGAGGAGGGGGGAACTTCAGGTTTTGATCCATCCTGTGGAATTTTACAGAGAAATAGCTTTCTGCTGAACACGCAGGCTGTAGGTCACCACTCTTGTGATCAAAAAAGGAGCATTGGTAACAAAGTGGGATAAGAGACCACAGTTAATCTAATAAAATTTAATTACTTTCCCATTCAAAGAATATTGACCAGTCAAAGTTAGCTCAAATTCTAAACTAAGAATCACAATTCTAAACTAACAATAACAATTCTAAACTAACAATAACAATTCTAAACTCACAATAAAACAAACAAAATTGGAAGAACAATCAGAAAATGAAAATGGGCTAAATAAGAACCTGATCCTGATACTTGTACTCACTGACATCACTCTGAATTAAGGCTCCCCGTATTTTTCTACTTTTGTTTGCACAAGGAGTGCAGCAGCAGGCTTCAGGGTTTTTTTAAATAAGTCAATAAAAAACACCCTTATAAGAGTTAACATGATCACGAAGATTCAGCCAGCACTGTGAGTACAGATTCATAAAGATCATAAGAAATCTTTAATTCTAAGCTGAATCCAGTCTGGAAGCTTCATGAGTCTTTGCTGCTGTGTTTCTGGTTTAGCTTGTCACCTCTTTCACAGAATAGATAGGTAATTCATTTCTATATCCAAGACAAAATATTCTGCCTGAAACCCTGTATAATATATCTCATGTGACAGGAGAAGTGATAATGGTGCATGAATACCTTCCCTGCTATTAGATAATCCACAGAAAGAATCTCCTTAAATTGCTGGGGGTACAAAAGGAAAGGAATGGGGTGGAGGGGAATGTCTTGGTTAATAAAGTGGTTGAATATGAAATAGATCTCAGAATGTAGAAGCAAGAATTTACACGTGGATGTTTTCTTAGTTCAGCTGCTACTATCTCTGATTTCAGTTTTGATTGCCTGCTTATGCTAGACAGCAAAGATTTTTTATAAATACAACTCATGTACAAAACTCGTGACAATCTATATGATGAAACTTCTTTTTTCTTAAGTTTGGGTAGAAGACTATTTTCTGTGGTTTGCTCAAGACATACCATCCTCGTAAGATCAGCCAGAGGCTCATCTTTCAGGAAAGAAGTAATTAAGTCCTAGTTTTTAATTAGATAAAACTTGCTCAAAATCTTTAACATTCCTTCCCCAACTTTACATAAGCAGAGAATTTAGGAGATTATGTATGTACAATTTTATTCTATTTTTTTTTTACTTTGAAAGGTGTTAAAATTTTTAAAAAGCAACATAAAATGACAGTGTGTTAAAAAGATAGATTATGTCTCAGTGCATCTTGAGTCATGGAGCATCTTCAGTAATTTATATGGGGAGGGGAAATGCTTTCCATTTAATGAGGATTCCTGAGAATCTAGCAATCCTCAATCTGCTGCTTAATTCATAGGCCCTAACCTGTCCTTCAGCAAGATTTGAGGAAGAAAAGAAGGTGGTGTGGTAGACAAATGAAGCAGTGTGGTAGGCAGGGACACTGGTTATCCCAGCACTCAGAGCAGAATAAAATATAGTGAAGGACAAAAAGAAAGCAAAAATGGGAGTCAGATAGCTTGGCAATAAGGAAAGGGTATTCCTGTGTTGAGAAGGCAGGCACATCTGGACAATCAGTTTCTTAGGCAGCATTGGCTGCTCCAGGGACAGTCA